CCCAAAACCCCAAAACCCCAAAACCCCAAAACCCCAAAACCCCATGAAGTAAATAGGAAACTTCTAGAATTTAGAAATTAATGAAAAGTAGATAGAGATGAGTCTCTTACGAATATTCTGCCTAATAAATAAGCTTTTAAATTTGAATTATTAAAATCTTTTATAAAAGAGTATACTCTAAGACAACCGCCAACAATGAAAATTGAAGAAGTTAAGTCAACAACTAAAACTCAAAGAATTGCCTCACATACTCACGTTAAAGGACTTGGACTCAATGAGGATGGTAGTGCTATTGAAATTTCTCACGGTCTCTGTGGATAAGAAAAAGGTAGAGAGGCATGTGGAATTGTAGTAGATATGATCAAGTCAAAGAAAATGGCAGGCAAAGCCCTATTGATGGTAGGACCTCCAGGCACCGGTAAAACCGCTCTTGCTTTGGCAATCGCTGCTGAGCTTGGACCAAAGGTTCCCTTCTGTCCAATGGTTGGATCTGAGGTTTATAGTTCAGAAGTTAAAAAGACTGAGATTCTGATGGAGAATTTCAGAAGAGCAATCGGACTCAGAATTAAAGAGACTAAGGAAGTTTGGGAGGGAGAAGTTACCGAGATTTCCCCAGAGGAAGTTGAAGATCCACATGGAGGCTATGGAAAGGTAGTAAGCTCAGTTATAGTTAGCTTAAAAACTACAAAGGGTTAGAAATAATTAAAATTAGATCCAAGTATTTACGAAAACATCTAAAAGGAAAAAGTTGCAGTAGGTGATGTTATCTATATTGAAGCCACTAGTGGTGCTGTAAAGAGAGTTGGTAGATCCGATGCTTATGCTACTGAGTATGATCTCGAGGCAGAAGAATATGTTCCGATTCCAAAAGGTGATGTCCACAAGAAAAAGGAAATTGTTCAAGATGTCACTTTACACGATTTAGATGTTGCAAATGCCAGACCCTAAGGCGGGCATGATTTCCTATCTTTGATGAGTCAAATTAACAGACCAAAGAAGACTGAGATCACAGAGAAACTGAGACTTGAAATCAACAAGGTCGTTAATAAATATATTGATCATGGCATTGCTGAACTTGTTCCAGGTGTATTATTTATTGATGAGGTCCACATGCTTGATATTGAGTGCTTTACTTATCTTAACAGAGCTCTCGAAAGCAATCTAGCTCCAATCGTTATTCTTGCAACTAACAGAGGTCATTGCCAAATCAGAGGTATTGAGATGAAAGCTCCACATGGTATTCCAGTCGATCTCCTAGATAGACTTCTGATTATTAGAACTCTTCCATACTCTCTAAATGAAATAGTTCAAATCTTAGCTATTAGATGTGCTACCGAAGGTATTGAAATCGAAGAAGACGCCTTAGCCCACTTAGCCTCAATCGGTACTAGAACTTCTCTTAGATTTGTTGTGTAACTCATCACTCCAGCCTTTGTTTTAGCTGGTACCTTAGGAAAAACAAAGATCACTCTTGAAGAAGTTAATGAAATTAGTACCTTGTTCTTTGATGGTAAGACATCTGCCAAGCTGCTACAAGAACAAGCAAAATTTTACATTTCTTGAGCAGGTAAAAGCTTCAAATTTCAGTGTAATTGATGTTGATGATAAATTGATTGCGTTAAATTAATTTAATTCTAAAAAATAAATAAATAAATTTTAATGAGACCAACTGATCTTTAATTCAGGTCTCCTAAAGAGAGAACACCTGGTCATACCTATGAAATTTATGTATTATTCTAAACTATTCATTATAACTTAGATGACTAATAAAGGAGAGTCTTTATTTTCCATTCATAATGAAAGAACCTTACATTCATCTTCAAGGAATGGAAGCATAATGTCTAATTCGCAGATTGCAAGATCTCAATATAAACAAAATTTTGAGCAGACCCCTAGATTTAAGTATCTACAAATGCAAGATAGATTTAAAGGAACATAGAATAACTTAGGACCAGGAAGTTATGATAGCTAGACTTCTCTCGAAAAATTAGAGAAAAAATAGCCTTGCAGTGTTTTGATGGTAAGTTTCTATCTAATAAAATTATTGCAGAAAAAGCTTTTCAACAACAAATCCACATAAAGGCGTTATTATTATGTTGGAAGCTCTTTAGTTCTAGAACCAGAATCACCTAAAATTATTTCTAAAAAAGTTTTTATGGGTAATCATCTGGATGATCTAGATTCAAAGAATAAAGAATTTATGAGCAGAAGGATTAATAATGTGAATAGAAACAGTACTCTTTTAAACTAGAGATTAACACTTGATTAGACAAGATAGTCAAAAGAGTTTAGAGCTTAAAACTTGAGTTAGCAATCAATAAACAATGGAAGTAGTTCTTACTCGTAAACACAGCATCCTACATCTGCAACTACTTATGGAAACTAAATGACTAGAGGATCTTCAAGAAATAGGTTCCCTACAACATCTAATGCGATTTCCAACACCTATCAAAATAGAAGTTAAATAGACTAATTTTCAGATCATCCTTTAGCATCACTTCCTTAACTTAACAACACAAGTACATCTTTTCGCAGTCTTAATAAAACATTTGACTAGCATGATGTCAAAGATCAAAACTAAAGCTACTATGTATCTAGATAGAATAATGAAATACTAGAATCAATTAAAGAGAAAAATAAACAAAAAGGTTAATCAACACAAAATAGAAAGACAAAATCAAAAAGAGCAGCTGTCAAAAATATAAACTCAAATATATATAACGATGATGAAAGTCAAATAGAGACTATAACCAAAGTGGCAAAGATTGGTGGGCAAAAGAAAAAGTACAAAAAGTTTCTTGATAGGAACTAATTAGTCACAATAAATGGCTACAAAGATTTTAATTCATCTATTGATATGGTCAAACAAATTTATACTCCTTAATCCAACCTAACTAATGTTAGACGGTAGTATTGATTTGAATTCTTGTAATCTATAAAATTTGACTTTATTATAAAGCTTCTTTAACACTTATTTTATCATTATGGGGTTTTGGGGTTTTGGGGTTTTGGGGTTTTGGGGTTTTGGGG